CAGCTGGGAAGCAACGGGCGAGTATATTATACCTGGTTGTGGACCAGCCATTGACAGACGTACTGACGGCGAATTGACGACTTTTTAAAAAAGGGAGCTCTTTTTCTACACCGCGTGTTAAAAACAGGATCTGGCTGGAAACACGCCGGACTGCATAAATATTGCTGCCAGACACGTTACAGATTTCGTCCATTTGATCTTGGGATTGAAGTTTTAACAATCTACCCCCAGATGCATTGTTTGTCAAAGGTAGCCTGTATATATTCCTACCCGCTAAAAAAAAGACACCTTTTTATCCCCGGTGAAAACATCCGGAGAATAGATGGCGGCACACTTTGTACTCCAGTTTAAACCCCTGACCCCTCCTCACCACGGCCCTTGGTACCGAAGGAACCCCAACAGAGTGGCCGTGGTTCAGAGTGCGCGCTCACCTGCGGGACGGAAGAGCGCCGCGGAGCAGACAGAGCGCGCTCACGTCAGGTCACGCTGCCCGGACTCCACCAGCGCCACCAGCAAAACTAACACTCATAATGACGACAGTGCCGACGGTACAGATTCAATACTAATACCTGCAGTAGCAGCAGTACGCTGTAATAGTAACCATTGTGCAATAATATACAACAGTAAATCAACTGCATTTATTTTTCCTGAATGAAACACTGATTCTGCTTTTTTTTTCGATTTTGTGACATGTTTTTAATCTTTTTTTTCGTGTTTCTAAATTATAGGTCTCCTTGTTTATAAACAGATTTTGGTTGCACACGGCAGACGCGACGTTTCAGCATCACAACCTCTCCCCCAAAAGATCGTTTCCATCTATCCTAAACAGAAGCAGAGATATCACAGCCGTCCTGTATCTTCAAAAAGCGCCGAAAGGGAAATAAAAAACACAGCCTAAATCCAGATTGCTTAGTGGGGAAGGACGGAAATTAAAACTTCGGAACTCATAATTAAAAAAAAAAACAACAACGAAAAGTTAACGTTAACGAATGCAAAAAGAAAAAATCAAAAAGCAGGAAACTCACCGTTTGCTGGGTAGCGTCCGATAAAGTCGCATAAAGCGACAAATATGATAATGTTAACGGCAATGAAACAGCTCATGGCGTGAAAATTAAAGTTCCTAACAAAATGAATCACCAGCGCCGGTGCTAAACGCGCGTGAGTCTCTCCACAGTCAGAGCCCGGAGGTTTTGGAGCGTCTCGCTCGCTGACTCGAGGCTCGGCAGCGCGGATAACGGTCCGAGTCGCTGAATGGGTCGCGTCGGCGGCGGCCCTCTCTTTGGTGAATGAGTGTGTGGGGGCGAGTCCGCTCCGCCTGTGTATAAATATTTTGGCTGGAGTGGATTATGCGGCTGGGGCGGGCGTCGCTCCCAGCCAGTTGCAGGAGGCGGGGAGGGCGGCCGCCTGATCATCAGTCTGAGGCAATTCTCAGCGCAAAGCGACCCCGTGTCTGAGCAACGAGGCACCGGATTTTACACCGGCCCTCTTCTGTATAATCCCCCCCCCCCTCCTCCTCCCACCCCAAACACATTTTTTTAACCGCTGTCCCGCCAAACTATTGCTACCCTCCCAGTTCTCACACGCCTTCTCTCCGGAGATGTATAGTAAAAGTTGTTGTTGTTGTTGTTGTTGTTGTTTTTTTTGCTCTGTGGGCGCTACCGCTACTGGACTCGAACTAAAAAGTGCCCCCCGCCCCGGAGGAAAGCTCTCGTTGGCGTTTCAAACCCGCCCCGCTCTGATTGAGCCGTTGGCATCTTAAATTGGACATCCCGGCACATCGAGACGGAAGCGCATTCTTCCTTTATTTACTACTCGCCGTATCTGTTTCGGGGGCGCTCTTGCAACACCGAGAGCAGACAACGTGCTTATTATAGTAATTATTACAGCGAGTCCAGGCATTTTCCCACCGGAGGAGAGACTGGGAGTGAATAGACTGTTTCATCCGGGGTGAACGTTGCGCAAGCGGAGGACGGCTGCCCGAGCGACACCCCCAGGAAGGGTTGCTGTGCGCGGACTTTTCGAAAGGGGCGCTCTCTCGTTGCGGCGGCGCTGGTCCAGTTTACACCAGACTCCCTTTTGACCGCTCCGGCGCTCGCAAAAGACGCGGGGCTGGCTGTTGATGCAGGCCGCATTCCTGCCTGCAGGTGGAAAGATGGGCTGCTCGGTCTCTCTCTCTCCCTCCCCACTAGTTAAAACCGAGCCCGTCGGGCCGGGCGGTCCCACGCGTGAGCAGGGGCCGTGAGTCAGGGCCACGCGGGGAGCCGCCACAGTCCTGGAGGCGGCGA